AAAATTTATATTTACTTTACATTGTCTGCCGCCTATCTTTGTTGCTTATTTGTGCATATATATTCAATTTTCTATTACCCAAAATTATTTATGTCGGAGTTCATATGCATAAATTAGCAGATGCACGCATTTGATGAAATTTAGCATGCAACTGCTGAAAAGGGCGGAGGGACCACAAAAAATTAAATTAATATTTATTACGCACATTTTGGTTGATTTGGTTTTGCACTTGGTTGCACTTCTCCCACGGCCTAGACACGAACATGGAAATGGACAGGGACATGGTTACACGCAGATGAACATGGACATCAAACATGGAAAGCTTGCATAAATATTTAGTTGGTACAAATATGTAGAAAGGGCTCGACAAACGTTACATGCAAATAAGTTGTACTCGAACACATTTATTTTTAATAATATATTTACTCAATACTGGTTTATCCTGCTGACACTTTTTTAATATTCCAGAAATTTGCATTTGGTTTTGTGGTTTTGTAATTTGCATAAATCAATTCGAAATTATCCACGGCAACCGGTATCACATTTCTAATTATGTTGATGGCATTTTTAGTTTGTTTAATTTATGCAAATGTAACGAAATATGTGCGTGCTTGCAGGAGTCACTGATTAATTGCTTGTTGCGGGTTAATTATTTTTTATAATAGAGAAAAATAATTGCCGGGGACACGGTCTCTGCTAACACGCAGTGCGCAGTAATTTCCTTTTGTTGTTCAAGTGGCAATTTAATTAAGCTATTTAAAGGCTCTAAATATTAGCAATTAATATTAATGTGACCGCATAAACGCTTGCGACAGTTTACACGATTTAATTATAGATTATGGCTGGCTAATAAATTATTTAGCTGAATGCTTCAAAGCCTGTGGTATATTTTTTACCTTTTTATTTATTTCTTTTTAAATTTAAAGGCTTTGGTCCTTTATTAACCATTTTAAAGGCTGGACAAATAATGGCAATTTGATCAATTGATTGATTATATTTCTCCAAAAAGTGTAAGCCTCTTAAGTATTATATTCTTCCGTTTCTTTCATATATTTTCTGAATCGAATTTAGTTTAATCTGTTTAGTTTGCTTGACATCTTTAGATGATGTGAAACTTTTAAGGAACTTAATTGACTGTGCTTGACTATTCACCCTTAGTATATTAAGGAATTGTGGAAATAAATTAAACTTATTTAATTGCATTAATTAGAAAGTACTCAAAATTGAGAAGCCATTTAATTGACTTGCTTCTTTATTATGAACATTTACTAAAAGCATTAGTGGCAATTTATCACTTTCTAATGATTAGCAACATGAAGTATTAGTTATTTCTGTAATTCAGTCAACATTTGTTGGAAATTGGCTTCAATCAAAATTAACTGCAGCTATTTAATTTATTTCACCGATGTTAAGCATTTTGTGCCTGCATTGGTTGCATTGGTAATTTTTTTTTTATCATACATAATTTGAAATATTTGAGTGCTTCAGCCTGGAATCTCCTTATTCGGACATCTCTGGTTTATTATAGCAATTAAAAGGACTCTAATGCTAATGCGATTTGTGTCCAACAAAACGATATTGTGCAGTGATTACGCAGCACTGTGTTTCCTCTTAATTGGAATCATCTTTTAATTGCCATATTAAGCACGCTCGATAAGTATACGCAGTGTTGTACTCACACACATTCCCGCCTCTCCTTGCATCCTACACTCACACTCACACTTACACACACACACATAGATAATGCCAAGCAATTATGCATGAAGACGGCATTTAGTTGAAATTGATTGCTCACCAAGCGGAGACAGTTCCAGTTTCCAGGCCGAGTTGAAGACCAAGTGCCGAGAAACACTAGCCACAAGCATTCGATGCATCCTTTGAGGACAACCAGGTGTTGGGATGTGTTTGCCTTTGTGCGTGTTTACGTGTGCGTGTGTTGGTGTGTATCTGTGTGTGCACTCAATTAAGCATCTCGGTCGTCGCAAATACACAAATACTGCCGGCCTACACACATTATCCGACTGCACTTGACAGCCGCTGGCCTCGTTAATTGATAAACTTGGTTTCGTAAACTTTTCTGTCGATTTGCCAAACATTCTGACATCGGACATTTTGATTGCACAACTGCGAGCAACTAAAATTGAAAAAGGTGATCAAACAGTGAAACACATATTTGAGGAGAGCCCAACTGACACATTTTCACATGTTGGTGAAGATTGGTTGGTGGTAAAACCCTCCCACTCGCTTTAAAAGTTATAGAAAATGTTCAAAATTAATAAAACTATGCTAACAAAAATTGTTCTGAAGCGTTTAAAAAAAATCATTTTATTTTGTATAAATATTTCGAGTAAATTAGTTTTTGAAAATATTTAGATTACTACATTACTATATATTTCAAATATATGTGGTTTATTCCAGGACATATAACACCACTACATATTCCCCAATTTTTGTAATAAACTGCAATAACAAGCTTTTGCTTTATTTATTCATAAATGCCTGTAAAACCAAAAGAAACTTTACCTCTCAGCTCGAATGGGAAATAAATCGAAATGCTTGACCCAAAAACCAGGAGAAATTCCATTTATTAATGCAAAATTGGAAATTTGCACTGTGTTTGTGTGCACACGTGTGCTCTGGTCGAAGGTCCTGCGAAAGGCAATATCCTTCAACGGCTCCATTTATTACGATATTTATGTGTAGGGCGTAAATCAAGAGCACAAATGGCATGGAATTAATAAATGAGTCCACACGTGATGAACATTTTGCTTTATTCACTTTGATTATTTTTTCTCAAAATATTTTTCTGAAGAAAATATAGGAGAAACCCTATCGCAACAGGTTCAACAATAAATTTACCTTCCATGGACGGCACTTCAAATTTATTTGCTTATTTTATTTTGCAGCCCTTTCATATTTTATGTTAATTAAACTTGTTGCCGGGTTTTTGTTGCAACTTGAAACCAATTACGCAGCATGTGAGTGGGTGTTCTCATACACTGACAGTCTGTTATGCTGCTTAATTCCTTCAACTCTAACTCCTGGCTGCAGCTCGTTACTTCGTTACTTAGTTTTGACATGATGTGCGGGGTGGAGAGCGGCGGAAAAGCGGGGAAAATCGTGGAAAATCGTGGCGCACGGGGTGCGCTCTCCAAAGCGTGAAATAACTTCCGTTGCAAATTTCATTTTCGTTGCACACATATTTTTTATTCACACAAAATGCACAATGCAGACACATGAGATACTAGAGGGCCAATGTGTGTGTGGGTCCTTTGTATATGGCAGCATTCGCATTTCAGTTTCAAAGTTTTTAACCCTTTTGGCAGTGAATGCGTTTTAATGAGCTTCAAATTTTGACGGCAAATAAGCTGGGTATCAGTTTTCATACTTTAAGCTTCTTAAAATAATAATTGAATATATTCGGTTTTAGAAATAGAAAATTAAAAAGCTTATATACACCAAGAAAACCTTAGGTAAAATCCACTTCAAAAAATATATACCATTTTAGTTACTTTAATTAATTTCCATGTATTTTATTTTTACTTCTTGAGCAAAGGGTAAAATGTGTATATTGTTGTTCATTCTATTAAGAAAACTTTTAAATAGACAATTTTCGTAAGACTTTAAATACAGAAAAATTGATATCATTTAAATAATTTTTGTCTTTCCCGCAAAAAAAAGAAAGAACCCTAAGAATTATCTTTTTTGTTTTTTTGTTGACGGAAATTTTTAAATAAAAATAACTACAATGTTTTTTTTTAATAAACAGTTTCTCAAGATTTATTTATTTTAAAACATAAAAAAGATTTTTGTTTTATTCCATAGCTGCATAGAATAATAACTTCATAGAAGTTTCATAGAAGCCTTAGGCGATATTGCATTTATTTGTAGAAGTGTTGAAATGTTGAACAACTTAAATTAAAATGACTTCGTCAAGTTTTCGTTTAGTTTTCTTATACGTCAGCATTTTACCTGTGTTGTTTCAGCCAAATAAGTCGCATAAGTGCTGCCATGGAAATAAAGTGCTGTAAATAATTTGAATTTTCACTATTTTCTGTTGTTTTTGATGCTTTCCCCCAAAGTTTGTAATTATTTTCTTACTTCGTTTGCCACAAGTGTGAAAATCAGCACAACTTTTTCGTACAAAGTCATTTTCCTTGTTTTTCCTTGCATTTTCGTTCGGGTCCTTTTTGATTTTTGTTGTGCCTTATTTTTATGTTGCCCCAGGACAGTCGCAAAAAGAGAAGCAAAGTTTTTTATGGCAGCACGAAGTTGGGAAAGGGTTGTGTTGGGTCCGCCCATTAAAAATGTATAGAAAATAATTTAGTTAAATATTCGGTCAGTGGCTTGCAGTTTTCCAACCGTTTTTCATTTGTATAAGAGTTGGATTGGTGTTGGTTTGGATATCGGGTAAGCCGGAGAAACTTTTCTCTTTGCTCGATTGAACATCCCACCACCAAAAAATGATCAACTGGAAAGGGAAACCCACCACCAGAAATAAGAGGTATAAATATGTTTTTCTTGAAGAGAAAATCCAGAGAGAGAGAGAGAGAGAGAATATTTTGGAGGAAAGAGTGAAAGCGCATTGATAACAACTGCGGTTCGTCAAAAACCGGTTTTACAGTGCACTCTAGGTAAAGGTACAAATTTTAATATTTATTGACTTAATACATTTACCCAACTCTTAAAAATTAATATAAATGGAAAATAATTTTAAAAGAATTCTGAATGGTTTTCTTCTGACTTTGAAACGATTGTAATGATGAGTTAAATTTAGTTAAACCGATTTTATAATTATAACTTTATAAGTTTAAGAAGTTTAAGTTTTAAATATTAAAGTTATCATTTTTCTAATTATATACCATATTCAATTATAAAATAAAATTATATATACAAATTCCTCATAACAGATCGTGTACTATTTAGAGTAAGCCCTGTACTTTGTTATTTGTTTGTTTATTGCCGGTCTGCTGTCTGTTTTCCGGATTTCCTTTGTTCAGACTGCACTGACCGATTGCGGGGTTCACACGTTCACCTCATATCACTACTAAATACTAGAATATAATATAATATAAACAAACCATGGCTACTATGGATGATTTTTTCAACAAAGTAAAACGAAAGCATCCGAAGATTCTGGATGATCTACAGGAAATTTTCAAAACCTCCCAGAGCGATTCGCCGCAACGCTCAATCACCATGTCTCAAATACGTGGCAAGTATTCCCCGAATTCGTCGCTTAGGTAAAAAACCTATAATTTTTAATTGCCATTGCAGCTGCCTACAGTCAACGAACTGGCGAGGATTTTCCCGTCAAGGGAAGCACGCGAACCCAAATGTGTTTTGTCCTGACAATCCCCTATGTCGCCTGCTTCACCAGCCGGATTGGCACATTGCGATTTTTCGCCTTCGAGGCCAATCAGGAATGAAGGAGGAGATAAAACCACATCTAGTCATACATGTGCAATTTTCATATACATTTATAATATAACGCAATACTATTATTTTCAAAATAAACATTTAAAGTAAAAGATATATATAAACATTGATTAAACTTACTAGTTTCATTTAGGTAACATTACATATTAAACTTAATTTTATGAAAAATATTGGTTGATCTTAATACCAGGTTCAGATGATAATAATGCAGATCATAATATAATAATAATTAATAATTAATTGCCATATTTTGAGACTGCTGATCAAGAGGAAAGCACCTGTTTAGACCTACCACAAAAAAGGTTATTAATTTGGTTAAAACAGATGCGAATGAACCAATGACCGATTTTTTAAACTGATGACATAAGCTCTTTATAAATTGTGCACCTGAATTAAATTTAATGTTGGCACTTTCAAGTAAGTAAAAAGTGTACACTTAGCGAAGTCACACACTTTCATGGCGTTCATGGTTTTAAAATTCAATAAATGTATAAGAGATTTGATCGAAGAATACTCGTATAAGAACAATTTTAAGTTATGTTATAAGAAAAATAAACATAGTTAATTAAAATATGATCGAAGAATAAAAAAGTACAAATATTTTAACTCTTCCTTAAAATAAACTCAGACAAAACCCTTTGAAAATAAAAGTTCAACATTTATTAAGCGGCGAATAAAATAAAATATTTGCACTTCCGCAAACTATTGCACGGCCAGCGGCGACAACTTCCAATTCCAATTTAAATGGCAAACGCTTCTGGTTTTTGCGCTGCAGCTGCCAATTGTAATTTGGGCCATGGCCGAAATCAAACGGCAACAACAAACAGCGACGGGAAAATCGGAAAACCTCAATGCAAACAAAGGGACGACGAGTGACAGCGTGTTGTTGTACGTATGCACATCAAATCAAATGTATTTGCTGCGGCAGCTTTGTGAAGCAAAAACGAGAAAAAGTGGAGCAGCCAAGGCAAACAACTAACAAACCAGCTGAAAACAAACGAATTCCGAGGTTGCAGTTTTAGTTTGCAACTTGGGAGCCGGGTCACGCAGTCGCAGTCACAGTCACTGTCGCAATCACAGGATCGTGGGAATCCCAAAGCAAAGCATAATGAAACTAAATACCAGGCGAAGGAGTAAAACCCCAAAACAAATTCATTACGGAACTACACCTCAGGGGGTGATAATTCGATTCAACGAAACTTTGGTGATTATTTATTGCTTCATGCGGCGACTCCGACTTTCTCCCTGTGGCTGGGTGCTTTTTTCGGTGGGGTTTTGTCTGGTTTTCCTGGTGGTTTGGCCCAGTCCCCTTGGTGTTTTGCTGTTAGTGTCATAAAATGTTTTGTGGCCCAAAACTCGGCACTGGAACTCATTATTTTGTTCATTAACACTTTTTTTTTCTGTCTGTGTTTTGCCCTCGTTTTATTCCGTTCGGTTTTTACTATTTTTCTTTTTGTTTTTGTGGCTAGGGTATAAAAAGTTAGGATAGGGTATGCCAAAGGGTGGAATATATTATCTAATAAAGCGGGGAGTTAGTCCTTTGATGAACGTTGAGTTACTCTGGATTAAAATTAAATTAAATCAGTGATTTCCTAGCTTTCTTAATTGTCCTATCTTACAATCCACCCTATTTATCTAAAAATTATTAATAAATAATAACTATTTATGTAACTATTAAACGAAGTAGCAAAATTAAGAATATAAGACCATTAATTGAAATACTATAAAATTAAAAAGATGAGTTAAACCTTTTCAATTATTTGTAATTATTTTATATATTATGATTTATTTTGTAATTATTTTAAATATTTATTACTTAACGTTTTGTGACCGCAACAGGGCATTTACTAGTCTATCCAGAAAATTACTGTCTATCCACTTATTTATGCCCCCGTCTTGGAACTCTCGTCTCTTGATGTGGATTTCCTCCAGGACTATCAATTAAATTTTCCTATCTGACTTTGTTTATTTGTGCTTTCGGCTGTCCTTTTTTTTTGTTTTGGCCTGGCAAATTTTATTTATGTGCCTTAAAATATACATCCCGCAAATGGTTTCAAGTTTATTTTTGCATACAGTTTTTGCTGTTCGCTTTTAGTTTTCCATGGACATAAACATTTTTTATGCTTCATTAAGGTTTTGTTTTCGCTTTTCCTTTCCGTTGTTGTTTTGTTTTTGTTTTGGGCTTTTTGGGCCGACTTATCAGTCGCCAATTTGAAATGTTGTTAACTTTTACTAGCAGCGGCTTTAATTCATCAGAAGGAGGATGTTTTGGTTCGCAGATCCTTGCCTTTGTTGGTTATGGCACTTTGCTGAGTTATAAAATGCTATCGAGGGCGCAGGTTTTTATGTCTCAGGGTCAGATAAATGTGTTTATAGCGTAATCTTTTATTTCGGCTCTTCTGGCAAATGCTTTGGGTCCACATCCACATCGACTGCCGTTTAATTTCTGCGGTCTTTTATTTTTGCGACCCACTGAGTTGGGTCGACCGCTGAAGGGAATGTTTATGACACGCATACGCAGCGTGGGACGTAGTTAGGAGAGATTTGTCGTGGGATTAGACAAAATGTTAAGAGCTGGTCATTAAGCAGCCCAGCCAGTTCCATATATTATGCCAGGAATTAGAAAATTGAGCGGACAGATAAAGGGGCCAAACATTAATTAACAGAAGCAGATGAAAGTTAAGGGCTTTTGGCAGGAAAGAATATTTCTCATATTACTGCAATGCCAAATACAAAAATTAAGATTGTTTAACTTTGGGAAAGTCCTATCATTATAAAAGTAATTATTTTAAAGTAACAGCATGAAATTTAATTTAAAAAGCACTTAACTACTTATTATGATTTTTCTTTGAATTTTTGGAAATTTTAAGGAAGTAAATTTAAGTGTGAATATTTAAAGTGCTTTTATTAGCTACAAATTCATTTGCCGTTAAAGGGAGTTCCGTTTGTGAAACATCACAAATATTGGTGAGAAATGAAATAAAGAAAACAAAATTTGTAATCAAAATTGTTTTTTTTTATTTTTCCCACTTCTGTTTAATATTCGGCATCAGAAAACTTGTAACCAAAGATGAAAAGTTTACATTCACAGCAAATTTAGCCAGCTGGCAATTGCTGTGAAGTGTTTATGGTGGCTCTGTCCCCTCGTCCCCATCCTCCCATCAGCATTCCGCTCTAATCGCTTCTAATAACGCACAAAATTGAAAAACTTATGCGATATCATTGGGGACTCAAGCCGCACGACAAGTGCAGCTGCCCTGCGGGGGGATTCCCCAAGAACTGGACCCGACAACTTGTGACAACTTTAAGCACATGAGGCAGGGCCAGCAAAGTAAACAGACGGAAGGACACAAAAAATAAGAAGTAGTAATGCTATAGTGGAGTTCCTCGACCTTTAGATACCCAGGCACTAGGCAGTTGTTGAAAAATATGTGGCATTTTTTCTGAAGAGACGATAAAAGCAGGTAAAATCAACTACACCAAAAAATACCTAATAAATCGTCAAAATGTCCTCAACTTTTGAAATAATTTGTAGGTATATTTTAATTTATCTTAAATATATGAATAGGTAATTAATCATTATTATTATTTTGTCAATTTTTTTCAAAAAACTTAAATGATTGTAGGATTTTTCCGATTCTGCTAAATTTTAACAGATAAATAAATTATTCATTATTATTATTTTGTCAATTTTTGTCAATTAGCTTTAGTGAATGTGGAATTTTTCCGATCGTGCTCAATTTTAATAGATAAATACTCTTGGACTAAATATTAAATATGTTTAACCCTATATTTACCTGTTAGATATTTAAATATTGTAAAAAGTTCTTGTATAATACTCTTTTGCCAAGACTTAAATCATATTTTATTGTTGTCAACCTCTTCAAGACATTTATTATATACTCCTGAGGTCCGAAAGTACCACGTATTCTAAAGGAAGGAAAAGCGGGTAAAAAAGAAAAAGTGAGAGAAGGAAAACTGTCATGATACGCCCGTAAACATGGCCAGCTGGCCAGGATTGAACCGTCGGATTGGTTCGGTTCGGTTTGGTTTGGTTTGGTTTGGTTTGGTTTTGTTTGGTCGGGCGACGGTTCAGTGAGGGTGTCCTGTCCGGGTGTCTTGGTGTCCTGGTATTTGCTTGGCCCTGTGTGTCACTTTGGAAATTGTGCAGATTGTACAGTCGCAGGGCGTGCGGCGTCTGTTTGTTTTAATTTCTCTTATCGGCAGGCAGCTGCCTTGTGTCCCCCACCCACATTTCGTCCTGGAAATGCTACTTTTTCTTTGCCATCTACTTGGGAGCTGAGCTGCTTCTGCCCGGACTCCCCAGTGCCATACAATTTTAATTGCACAATGGCAGGTCCTTTTGTTTTCTAGCTGCAATTTTTTAAAATGAATTCATGGCCTGGCCGGGTCTCCGGGTTATTCTGGCGCTCTTTTGTTTGACGTCTCTAAATCCGTAAGGAGTTGGCCTGGCCAAGAGCGAGCTCGCTGGCAGCCAGCTATTTAATTGAAAGTTGCTTTGTGACTCCGCCGGGTAAGCTAATAAAATGTTTAACTTTGATTTAGTTGAGGGATTTCTAAAATGAAAGCACTTAAAGTCGCTTTAGCGACTCACTTGGGCTACATTTACTGAAAAAAAAAAACAGTTTAAAAATTATTATTATTAAGAGACTTGACAGGGATAACATCTTTAATATGTTCTGAGATAATAACTAAGTTTATTTTTTTGTTTTAATTCCATTTTCTTCAGCAAAAGAAGCTTTTGTATTTTAAAACAAAATCACTGATCAAGAAAACTGCACATCTAACAATAATATTGATTTAATAACTGGTGCCAGTAATCAACGATACATTTAGCATAGTTTTCAAGAGTAATCATAATTCAATTCTCATCGAATAACACGTTGAGTTTCAAATGAAAAAAACGATAAATTTAAACTATATGTTTAAGTCCTGGTGTGAAGTAAAACCACTAATCACAACGTAAAACATAGATTTTAATAAATGTCGCCTAACATGCATCAATTAAGTGCCATTTTGTGACCACCCATTGCCGAAGTGTGTTATTTATCAATATTTTAAATTTCAATAATTAT